GTTTTTTGGGGCCCTCGGGCTCTTGCCCGCTCACCTTCCTACTCGCTCTTGAGCTTGATTTTTTTCTTGACCTTGTATCGACGGTTGCGCTGATCTACGACAAACTCATATCGCGATCTCTGCACATTTTCGCTATCTAGACTATAGCTCAGACCCAAAAGGCGTAGCACTCCTAGCGAATACGTTGTGACTGGATTTTAGTGCCGGATCGGATGCGAATTTCCTCTCTCTCGGCGAGCTCCTTCTCTTTCTGCTCCTTGTTCCTGTTCCGTTCCTGCCTCTTCCTGGAAGGAGAGAGGACCTAGCGACAACAAATTGAGTGACCGACGACTAACGGTGAATGAGCAGGCGGAGCGCACCTGTCGAGCTTTTATAGCACAGTTATATCCTGCGATCGCTCAGTCTCTCTCTCTCAATCTCTCACTTGCTGCAATTGCATTCGCTGCTGTTACACTGTTACACCCACGCTCTCTCTCTAGCTATCGCTCTGTCTCGCTCGCTCGCACACTACGGCTGCTTGAGGAAGTGAGTGGACACGAGACGGTATCTGAGCATGTGTCTTTGCGGTTTTCGGCTGCCGCTCTTTTCGGGAGCTCTTCTCCGGCGCGTTCTTGTTCTGCCTCTTCTGCTTCTTCTTTCAATCGAGAGTTTTCCCCCTTGCAACGCCGTTGTTTTCTGCTTCTTCGTTGCTTTTGCTTTTGTTGTGGCTGCCTCTTTTGGCACTGGGGCAATTATGTAAAGCGTTTGGCTTACTTTAAAAACTTGGACCACAGCTTTGGAGTGCTTTTTTCTCTGTGTGTACTTGCAGCTTTTAGCTTCGTATTGTACTGGTATTTATAGTTATTTTTGTTGTTGCTAATGTTATTGTGTGCGAGGTCATCGACGCGCGTTAGCCGAAACGAAAAAAATCGATATTTAACACTCGTCACACTAGATAAAATGGGTTTATGGGCTAAGTTTGAATTTATTGTTTTGCCCCAATGGCAAATACTCAAAGAAACTGGAGTTTTTCAGAGCACAATTGCATTTACAACAACAATTACCCGGCCGCGAATCGAAAAAACTTTCCGCTGCTTTGGACGCACGTTGTGTCGCGAGACGCAATTTTTCCAAATGGGAGCCACTCGAATTTGATTTTTGGAGCCCAACCAAGCGTTCGCTCTGCTCTCTTTATCTTTCCTCCCTCTCTATATCTGAGCGCTCTCTTTGCGCAGACTCTTGTATCGCTGGGTTTTTTTTGCACAATCTCGGATTCCTTAGCATTAATTATCCAAATAGCGGTTTCATGTGCATATTCAGTTAATTCTTAGATGATGTTTCCTTTCAGGGGAGTTGTGAAATGGGCGTGTAAACAAAGGCGTAATGCGCTCGCGCGCTCTCTTCTTCTAGGATTTTCTCTTCAGATGACGATGACGTTGCAAATGAAACGGTTAAAACGGCGCATCTCACTCGCACTCGCTCGCTCGCTCGCTCTCTCTCTCTCTCTCTTGGCTAAATGCTCTTCTTCATTTTCGGTGAATTCACTCAATTATTACGAATTTCAATGAGCGAACTTATGACGGCAATTGCATACATTTTTGCATTCTGTTTATCCATAGCTATAGCTGAAAATAGAAAACTCAATTAGGACTGGCGTTCAAAACCTTTGATTTTTCAAATCCCCATTGTGCAATCGAAAAGTGCAAAAATAGCACCAACAAGTGCGGTTCCAGATTGAGCAATTAAGCCCAATTGGATGCAATTTGCAGTTGGGCGAGAAAAAGGGGTAGTGCTCAATAATTTACGGGTGTCAAGTTCTCATTCCCTTAATGAACCCTCGAGAACTTTCGAGAATTCTCCAAGGGGGAGGAAAGAGAAAAGGGGTGGTGGTTGGGTTGGGTTGGGTGGTCGGTGGAAATAAAATAGTTTCTGCAATTGGCCAGTTGGCCGATTTGCATTTATATTGATGTGGCTGCGAGTCATAAACAAAATTTGATTATGCAAATGGAAGGCAAACAAGCGAAGGAAAACCGATTCTGTTTACTCGAAAGCCAGGGGAAATGCAGTAATTCTATCAACGGAACAAAGAAAAGGAAGGTTATAAAATTACACATTAAATGACTGGGTTAAATTATATTTTGGGAAACAACTTCCAATTGGTTTTCATAACTTTTTCCAACAAAGGAAAATCCTTTTGGCACCAGAATTAAAAGCCATAAAACGACTAATTTTTTTCATTTTAGTATTCGCAACCTTGAGAAAACAAGCCATTTAACCTAACCCAAGTCCCCTGATTATCCTATGTATATCTATGGCATCATCTATATCATGCCAAGCCTGTTAATAACGCCATTAAATGACTAATTGATTGATGATGTCTGGCTTTTAACCCCAGATGGATATTTTGCGTGCCGCAGTCTTAAAATATGTCAAAATAAACATGCAAAATTTGGTCAATATCGTTGAACAAAAATTGTATATATACGACTATATATGCGCTCATTTAAATGTCTTTGACGTCGCAGATAAAATTAGCCAACAAAAAAAACCGAGTTTTTAATGTTCTGCTTTATTTCGGAAAAAAAGAAAATAAATAAAATCAAAACAGAAACCGAAAAATTGTAAACATTGAATTGAAAACACGCTCTGCTTGTGTGTGTGATCACAAATAAAACCGAAAAGAGTGTAAAGAAGCGAGAAAAAATAGATGCCAAAACGTTTTTCGCAAGTCCTTGATGCATCAACATCAATACCAGGTGTAATAAATACTAGTCGGATGATGTGCAGTTCCACACTGTCAAAAAAAACGAAATGTGTAAAACTAAATGCATGTTAAATGCTAAAGTAATGTAGATGTGTTTAAAAAAAACACTAAAAATTATTTGTGTATAAGAACAAAAAGACGTCTTTAAAGTTTAAGGATAATTATGATCTATTTTTGACTTGCTTTACAATTTATTTCAATTCCTAGTATGGTTTTTTATATTTTTTACTTTCTCCTTTCTCGAATTAGCTTTAGCTGTATAAATCAGAATTTTCTTTTAAAACTAACGATTTTAAAGGAAAATTAAACCACTTCTTTCCGACCAAATTTAAAAGTGAAATTATTAATAAGCTTGATTTAAAATAAGTTTCTCCCAGTGCGACTTTAAGTGATGCGCAATAGGGTATGTAGTTGCAATACCATTTCTCCCAGTGCATCCTTAAAGCGCCTTACCCCTTTAACCAGTTGCAACACTTGTGCTCACCATTTACCTAATTTTCGGCGGATTTTTCTGCTCTCTCTCTTTGGTTGTTGTTGCTGTGGATTTTTCCACACTCTCACCACACTCAAAGCGACTAACACACACACGCGGGGATAGAAAAGTGCGGATACTGCGAGAGAAAGAAAATTGTGAACCACACCGGACGAAGAACCAACATCGAATGAGCGGAAAAATAGCGGGCGCACGTGCTTAAAGCAGCGTAGACCAAAAAAGGGGAGAGGTGAATCCCCCGAGAGAAAAGAGGGGGGGAAAGAGTGAGTAAAGGAAGAGTCGTGGGAGAGTGCGTTTTCTACTGAATGAAAGCGACAGGCTTCGTGGACCTTCGTCTGCATTCGGCGCCCTTCGTCGGTGGAGCTGCTCTCTCCAACTTGCATCTCTCACTCTCTCTCTCTCGCTGCTCTCCGAAAAGTAGGCAAGGACGTGGCTGCAATTTAAGGCAAACAACGGCACACCTACGCCCCTTTGGTCACGCCCCCGCGCGTTAATTAAATATCGCACATACGCAGCGTTAACACTTCCATCGGATTTTCAGATGGCAGGGCTTTTGGCTTGGCTTCGCCTCCGGTCGCATTTCATGGCTTAATGCCTCGATCTCGATTCGCTGCGGAATGCCCGCCGTAATGTAATGTATGCACGTCCTTGAAAGCACACTAAGAGCCACGTCGCGCCACCCACACGTCCACATTTTTCAGAGCTGCTCTTTTATTGCACCATGCAGTGAAATAAAAGTATCCCTAAGCTGTGGGATAAAAATAAAACTATATACACATTAAACTATATTCAAGAAGTAAAAACTCAATAGTATGTTACATGTGTCAGAATGAATAATACAATACAACAATAATTTAAAAACAAAAAGGATCATTAATAAAAAAAATAAAGGTTTAATATTACGTTGAATTACATTAATATTAGATATGTATGTTTAAATTGATGTACGTAGAATGCAAGAAAAGCTGAGAGTTACAGTTAGTTGGTTTTAGTTAAAACAAAAAAAATTGTAAATTCAATAGTAATTGCAATTAGCATATTAGAACCGATGTTTTCCTATTTACAAATTAAAATTAATGCGAATAACATTGTAAACAGTAAGAGTAAAAATTAATATAGCATCACTTACTCTGCGCTTCCAACGTTGAAAACTGCGAGCGGCATCACAGACTTGGTTACAAAACGGAGCCTGATTTTGGGTTATATCTTTGACGACGGGTTATACATATGTAGCTTTGACAACAGGTGCACTCGGATTAGTTCACAAGCAAGTGCGCTGATGTCGGATTTTCACAAACTTGAATGTAATTGCACAGAACAATATTGGTTGTACGCTCTGGTGAAATTGATGGTGGAATTCACAATGCCGACAATCCTGATGAAATACCGTTTCACATTGCTGGGAAAACTAGCGACAATTCGCAGGATCACGGACTGATTCTATAACGGGTAGAACAAAACCCATGCTTGCAGATTGTAATTTTACGATCCTCACTCGACCAAGTCCAAAACGAAAAATGAAGAACAGCCGAAATACACCAATCAGCCAGCTTTGCTTATCGGAAAAGAGTGTGACCAGAGTTACTCTGGGACCTTAATCGTAAGCGCCTTTTCAGTGTTGGAATGTAGGAAATTATTTCAATTTTGTTAATTTTAAATTGGCAATTTTAAAACGCGTTATGGCAAAACCAACGTCAAGCGGCCAAAATATTGATATGATATGATGATGACTGCACCTATAAATTCCTAAAGTGATCTGCATGGTTCTGAATATTTCGGATACGACTGTATCGTTTATTATCATGCAAAGTTGATTGATTTTTGTATTTTTACCCGGAGGCACTTTTTAAAGTAACAGGGTTTAGGCGTTGAATTGGGATCTTTGTTCCAGAGAAGTTATACTTGGCCACGTAGCCGTTAGTACCGGCTTCATAATTGACCAGCAGGTACTTAGACCCTGGAAAAGACTGTTGATATGTTCCCATGACTTGAAGTTGATCCGGCGAAATCTCTTCAACGACCTCCTCCCGAGTCGTTCCATCTGTAATGATTCTACAAGGAGTGGATTCACTTAATTGTGCTCATAAAATATATTATACAATTTACCTTAGGTAATATTTATTTTCGGATGGCATTAACAGAACACCATTTTCGTTTATTGAGGGAACGAGTGAAATGACAGATGTCGTGGTTGCCGAAGTTACCAGACTTAGAAATGGAATCAAAAGGATCTATGGAGAATACCTTAAAATTATCTTCAAGTCAAACATAAAATAACAACTTACTATGCAAAATAACTTGGCAATCATGATGATGATGATGATTTCTTAGCGGTTGGATAGCGACTGACATTTTCAATAATAATGCAGCAGCTAGAAAGCAGAACGAAACTTCTCCCAGTACAGGTCTTAAACTGGATTTATCAATAAACCCCATGTGTGTATGCTGACGATGCGCTTTTGATAATAGTATTGATTAGCATAGTAAAGCAAAAAAAATCGTTCAGATATTATTTACTTATAGATAGATAAAAAACAAACGTTGAGTGGGTTTTATAAACTGGTCCTTTCTGTTATTGAAATTGTGGGGGAAAAATATTATAATATTAAATATCATATGATATCGGATAAAACCTTCAATGAATAGGATTTAGTAGAAAGCTTGGTTTTTTTTACCAATATAGTATATAGGTATTATTTTTTCTCCGTGTAAGTATCCGTGGCAACAACCGTATACGTATACGTGCCATTTGACAATGTTGCAGGCGAGCGCAGGATAATGAAATCCGCAATTGATGCTTGTGCACGAACGGAAAAGGGATTTGGGACTTTTATGGACGTGTAGGACAGCTCTTATTGCGCATTTTGTGGTCCCCAAGTCGAAGTAAGCGATAGGGCTAACTTTTCCCCCCAGCAACTTTCACTTATTCGTTATTTGACCAGGCCAAGTGCTCGAGTTAAATCGTATATATGCATATCTACATGTTCATAATAATCCCTCTTTAAAATCTGTATACATTTTGGATATTTGCCAACGGGTGAAAATTTTTAGCGAAATCGAAATACGTGCATAGCGTATTTTTCAGCCAAAATAATGTTTATTTCTCTATCATCAGCGGGCGCTGCATTTTCTCCTGCCAGACTTTTCGCCTTTTATTGTTCTGTTTTCCGCCAAAATATTTCCATCTCGCCAAATGCATTACACAATGTTTAATGAAATGAAAATAATGTGGTGAAATGGCAAATACCTAGCCCGATTGAAAGTGCAATCTTGAAGAAAAAGATACGGTTTTTGATCTTACATACAGTGGTCGGCATATGTATTTTGACAAAATAAAAGTTAAGTATACTCATAACTTGAATTTACTTCTTGTAAACTATAGGCATCAATGGAAAGGTAATTTCAATGCCGTTTGATTGATACAATACATTTCTTAACCCATTCAGTATTTATTGAAAAGGACGAATTTGTGTAAATCAACTTTTAAATTTTTTTTTCAAACTTTTTTCTTCGTCTTGAAAACTTAAATTTTTTGATGCAAAAAGTTTCTTCAAACAAAAACAATAGTAACTGCAAAAAGAATTTTTCAAAAATCATTTTTCTTATATTTTTTATGAATTTTTGAAAATGCTTAAAATCAGGCATTTGAGCCATATTTTTCTCTTTTTCATACAAATTTTTTCCGACATTGTCACCTTCAAAAAATCATAAAAAATATAAGGAAAATGATTTTTGAAAAATTCTTTTTGCAGTTACTATTATTTTTGTTTGAAGAAACTTTTTGCATCAAAAAGTTTAAGTTTTCAAGTCGAGGAAAAAAGTTTGAAAAAAAAATTTAAAAGTTGATTTACACAAATTTGTCCTTTTCAATAAGTACTGAATGGGTAAAGAAATGTATTGTATCATTCAAACGGCATTGAAATTACCTTTCCATTGATGCCTATAGTTTACAAGAAGTAAATTCAAGTTATGAGTATACTTAACTTTTATTTTGTCAAAATACATATGCCGACCAGTGTACAATTTAATTTAATGGGATGCTTTGAAATTTATTAACAGGCATAACATTGCTTTGGGAATTTCATTTATATCTTATATTAAATGCATGTTATGATATAATTTCCCCCCTTCAAAATTGTGTAATTTTGATAATAGTATTTTAAAGGTTGGTGTTTTAATGATTAGATTTGGTCAGGATTTAAAAGTATTCATTTGTAATATGCCAATATTATGTTAGTTACATTTTTTAGTCACAACACTTAAAATGTTTTTCTTTTTTTTTAAGTTGACTTACATAGATTCACGAAATAAATCATCCCGAAGGTCATGGTGTTTATATTTCACCACTTTTGTTGCAATTTTTAGGGGTGCAATACTCTCAAGGTCATTTTCAGTTTAAATTTATGCAAGGGAGAATGTTTCAGATGAATTTATGTGGGCTTCGGGGTTGTAAATATATATTTTAATAAAATATGCGTGCAACCCAAAATAGCTGACCCACAAAGCCAGTGAGCTATATTTTCCCTAGAACCGGATCTGAATGCCCCTCTACCCCAGTTTCCACCTCATTCCTCTAATTTTGGTCCGCTGTCTAGTCTCATTTTTTGGCCATCAGAGGTCCGAGCAACAATTACCCGCAGACACAACAGCCATGATGAGTGGGCACCACGTACACCCACTCTATTCGCCCACCCATCCATCCACCCATCCTGCCCCGCCCACCGACCGCCCCTTTTTTGTGAATGGCATCCGAGGATTGGAGGAGTGCGCAGAATCCTCTCTATCGATTAACTCATAAGGCAGACAGCTCTCTTCGGTAAAACTTGGGATAGGGCATGGGGATGGGTTTTTTTTTTGGGTGGGGATCTGATGCGGATGTGAAATCAACTGCGTAGTAGTCAAAAGTCGGGTTGGACGGGGCGTTTCGGGGGTGTGGCACCTGCTGCTGTTAGAGGGATATAATGTTCGAGATGCTTAATGCGCAATTTAGTTAGGGGTATGTGGGATACACCGAAGTGTAGGTCAGTTTGCACACTTTCTCTCTTTGAACCCATCCTCTCTTCCTGAGTCTCTTTCCCACCCCTTCATCTACACTACCCCCTTCCGTTTCATTCTATCAGTTCTTCTCTCGCTGAATTATAATCGAAAATTGCATGCGAAAGTTGTATCCTTGGCACCAAAATAGTGCAATGCCCCCACTTTTTGCAATGCTGTTAAAGAACGCAAGTGACGCGAGCTGTAAATGGTTAAGCCTTTGTAAGAGAAGGGGATAAAGTACACTCAAAACTTTATAAATCAAGATTACCAAAGTAAAAGAGATATAAAACTTTAACTTTAAAATTACTAAAATACAAAAGTATTTGCTATACATTTTAAAAAATTGTGAGCGTATATAACTTTTTTTTAATTTACAAAAAAAATAATTTTATTCAAGTTCTAATATTTGAAAAAAAAAATGTAAGATAGAGTCAATATACAAATACCATAAATTTCTTATTCAAACTTTAAAAGATTAAATTAAAAATATTTTGGTAAGCAAAAATTAGTTCGAAACAAAGCAGACCTTGAATTTGTATAGTCTTGACAACCTGGTTAGGTGAAACTCAATCCACAACCAATTCGAAAATCAATCTACAAGCCCTATAGCAATTTCAAATTTATCGTCGTCGTCCATAGAGACAAAGATATACCCAAATATACTGAGCGAATCTGGGATGGTGATTGTGCAGGGAATGTTCGAGATCTCGGAGCTGGCAGCTGGGAGCATTGGATGCGTGGGTCTCTATATGGCCGGATGTAATGCCCTGCCCATGCAGCATGTTCCGGATCTTCCGGCGGCCTTGTTCGTCCTGTCGACGGTGTTTCTCCTGCATCATCTTCGTGTGATGAACTTGCCACCGTTGCAGGAACTTTGGCGACTTCTATTGGAACTGGTGGCCTTCTACATGGGCACCCAGATCCTCGTGGTGCTCGTGTGGCAGCAGTTCCACAACCTGATGGATAAGGTGCGGGATACGGCTCTCAACACGCGAGTGGCCATGAATCTTCTGGAAATCAACCCCAAACTATTCATGTTTATGCGACAGGATGTGTGCTACTTTTTAATGCTCATCGTATCATTAGTGTGCACCTACAAAGCTGTAAAAGTAACACATTCCTTGGATTATTTTCTACCGGCGCGCAGGATTTATAGGTATTACGCAGATCAAGCTGAAGACGAGATCTTTGCCGATGTTGGTAGGTCTACCAAACGAACCTACCAGCGACGACCAGTCTCCAAGAGTTCCTCACGTCGCTCCCAATCATAGAAAATCGAATCTCCCAGGCTAATCAATATTTTTTAATGCTTAATCAACGGTTTATGGCCAATCCACAAAAACACAAGGTGAATGGCACGCCGGGTGCAGTGCACCCACTCGAAGGCCAGATTCAAGAGCAGTTCACGCTTTCCAACATATTTGCATGCTTGAAAGAGCAGGGCCAACACGTAGACACAAAACCCACAACTTGTTTTCAAAATTTCCCGCCCCATTCGACAATCGATTACCGGACAATCTTATCGGGATTGGCTAATCGCTCTTGTTCCATCTCTAGCAGGAGAGATCAAAAAGAAGAAGAAGAGCACTGCGATCGGACACAAACAATAAAGAAATTAAACTATTAGCCATAATTTGGCAGTGCTTTTCGGTTCCGGGGGTGTAACTTAAAAGAGGGGAGAAGCTATGGCCTTTCTTTGCCCCGTGCGCATGCGGCGCGACAAGAAGAAAGGTAAGTCAAAGAAAAGCGGAAGAAGCAGCACGGAAAACGAAAGACTTCAATCACGAACTTAGCGCACTGAAAAAAAACTAGCTGTGTTTAACTAAATACATTTTTTATTGGTTTTATTTTACAATATTAAGTGGATAAGAACTTAATACCAAATAAAATTAAACTTATATTAAGCCTAATTGGTTGATACTAATATGTGGTTTTCAAAATATATTTATTATTATTCTGTTTCTTGTTTTTAGCTACTAGTGCCAGCATAGAACGAGATTTGCCAGTTGTGGGAGGATTGGGCATGGGCCGCATAACTGGATCCTCCAGCATTGAAACCCTGGTGAGAGTGGGCATCGAAAAGGAGCATGGTTTAAGGTATGTCCATCTAAAATATTCAACCCAAATCATTTTTAAAAAACCTGCCCTTACAGTCCAGATTCCAAGATGGTTGTGCTGCACGATTTTACTCCATGCGTTGATGATGAACTGGAGGTGAAACGTGGCCAGCTGGTCAATATCCTGTACAGGGAAAACGATTGGGTGTATGTGATTGGCCAGGACTCGCGGCAGGAGGGCTTCATACCCTTCTCCTACTGTGCTCCCTGCAATACACAGCTGGCGGATTTGGCGGTCAAAAAGAAACTGCCAAGGGAACAGTGTCCAGAGCAGCCGATCGATGAGAGTATACCGCTTCTGGGAGCGGACAACAAACTGGATGTGCTCTGCGATGAGACCTTAAATCCAGGATCTGCCAACAGCATGGAGAACATCCTTTTGCTAGAGCCAGAGTGCACTCCTTTTGTTAAAGAACCATCCGGACGTTGCATCGTTTTGTACACCTTTATAGCCCGGGATGAAAATGATTTGTCCGTGGAACGAGGCGAATTTGTCACCGTGCTGAATCGCGAGGATCCCGACTGGTTTTGGATCATGCGCAGCGACGGCCAAGAAGGATTCGTGCCGGCCAGTTTCATCTATCCTGCGGACAGCGTGCGAGTTTTGCAGCAACAGAAAGCCACTCTCAATGCCATGGAGAACATTCTTCAGCAGGGCCAACAGGGACAGCAGACCCAGCAACAGCAGCCGCCGCAATTGGGTTTGGGAACGGATGATCTGCGCTACCATGGCACAGAGCTGGTGATGCTGTACGATTACAAGGCGCAGGCTCCAGACGATCTTTATCTTTCCGTGCGTCGAGGAGATTGGATTTACGCCGATCTCAGTAATCAGACTGTCGATGGCTGGCTTTGGGCTTATGCTCCAAAAACGCGCAAATATGGATTCATTCCAAAAGCTTATGCCCGACCTCCTGCCATGACCAGTCTCTAAGAGATTGTATCACTTTCATTATAATTTTATACATTTATTACCTTTTAAGCTTTTTCATTCACCATCTTACATTCAATGGCATTTTCATTGAGTAATAAATTGTGCCTTAGATTTATTTGTATGTGAGCTTGCATAACATATCGTATACACTTAATCTAATTAATTCATTCTTAACTGTAGGTAGCCCGTAAACGAATATCAAAAATATCTACTATTGTATTCCATTCAGTACCAGCTTGGGCAGCACTTGCTAGCATCTAGATCTAGATATGAATACTAAAGCACTGATGGGGCGAGCCCCTCGATATGCACTTGGTTTGGATTATTGGATTGGATATAGATTCCATGAGCGGTGCGAGTGCGCAGGGTTATGCTCAGCATAATGTTGTACACACTCGCACATCCAACTGGATTTTGGTTTCAACCACATCAGCGGAGGTCTACTTTAGGCCCAGACTGTCGTTGGCAGAGGAGCAGTGCGAGCAATTGAGGTCCAGGTTTCTAAGAAGAGAGATTGATTTTAATAAATGAAGTAAGATCTCATAGAAATGTTAAACTTACTTCATAGCCTCCCTGAGCTGCTCCTTTTCGTTCATCTCGTCGCGCAGCTTCTGCTGCAAACTGAGTATGAGATCGTTTTTGTTTTGTATCTGCAGCTTCAGATGGACGATCGTCTCCTCCTGGGCCTCGAAAATTGCCTAAAAGAACGGTGGATATTAGGTTACCATCATAATTACAAGACTAAACCGTTCCTACCCGACACTCCTCCATGGATTCAGAGTAAGAGGGCGGCTCATCTAGGCAGAAGAACTCGCGCACCAGCTTGCACTTGCGCAGCTCTTCCTTGGCCATCACTGAGTTCACGAAGATCTGGAGGCCCTGCACCCTATTGTCCAGGAAGACGGCATTGAAATTGTCGCCAAAGAGCTTCTTGCGCGGCAGCATGAGCGTGAGGTTGGGGAAAGTCTGCTTCAGCTTGCCATTGAGACGCACAAAGTCGGTGTAGCGTCGCATGACGAGCCAACAGTCGTTACTCTCCGGATTCTCGACGCGCAGCTTGTAGACGGTGAAGCGCGCCCGCTCTTCCATTACTTCGTAGCCAATGATGGGCACCCTAAGCACGGCGTTGGGATCCACGGGTGGAACCACCGATCCCGAGGAGAGCGTCATCTGGCTGGCGAACATGGAGTTGGAGCCGCCCGTGTGACGGGAGCTGGATTGGCTGTAGCCTAGGCTGCACTCGCTCATGCGGCGGGGAGCCCTACTGCTAGGTTCCAGGTCCACAGGATGGCCGCCTGCATGGTGGCCATAGGAGGACTGCGTCAAGTCGCGATGGGATCGGGCACCGCCAAGCATTTCGCTATTTCTGTTTGTTGGACTGATCCTAGGCTGTTCGTAGCTGTGGGAGCTGATCCGCTGGAGACACACCTCCGATTTGGCGTTGGCCACTGTCAATGGAGCACCTGAATTGCTAGCCAGGACTACGCTGACATCCCCCTCCGATTTGCTGCGCAACAGGCTGTTGTTTTGGTGCTTGACCACTTGTCGCAGGTCAGGATTCGAGTGGCACTGGCGGCCGAGTAGCGTCCGCTGCTGGAACAACTTCCGGTTTTCCAATCCGCGGCTGGAGTTCCCACTTTGGAGCAGCGATTTCTTCGGTGACGTCGTTGCTGTGCTGGCCTTCTTGAAGAGCGTTGCTTGTGGGGTTCTTAAAGGTGCCAGGTGGTTATTGTTATTACTGCCGTAGCTACTGCCTGTTTCTCTTTTCCGGAGCGCACGCAGTGACATCGCTTTGTTTGGTTGGGTTACGCTGCAGCTTTTGTTTGCTACATGACTTTTTAAATTTTCCCCAAAAAGAAATGGCTTTTCTCCCTTTTCTTTTGTTATTTCCTTTTTGTGGAGTGCAGTGTGACCACACTCGATGCTGACCTAATTGCAATAGTGTTGGTTAGCGCTGCATTGGATTATCGATAACGCTGGGCGGCAAACAGCTGTGGGTCTATCGAAAATGGAGCATGTGGTAAATATTATTGTTTTCCGTGGTAAATTAATAAAATAACAAATTTTCTATAGGAAAACGAAACCGAAGAGCTTATACAAAAGCTCGTGACTCTGAATGTGGCTGATGATGAGGAGGAAATCACAGCCCTACTCAAAACTCTGCGACTTTTGCTCACCAAAGGCAATACACATCAAGAGACTTTGGCCAGGAGTGTGGAGTTTGCCGGTTTCCTTGACGCCGTGGCTTTTAATCCACTGATGCGCACAGAGCATCGTGTTGTACACAATCTATCCCTCCAGGTGCTAGCCAACAGTGTGGTTAACAATGAGACTACTCAGGCACTCACCTGGAATCGGCATGGCGCGAAGATCTGCGAACAAGCTTCTGCTGCACCGCTGGGCAGTTCGAACAATGTGCTTCTCATGATCATGTACAACATATATCTTAATGGTCGCTCTCTCATTAGTGACCTGGTGGCGCTCCGGACTTGCCTGAGTCTATGGCGGGCTCTAAACGAAGACCAATGCACCTACAACTTCGAGTACCTGCACTTCTTCCTCGAGCATTTCATCGTCCAGAATGGCCGTGCCTGTGTGGCTTGTTACCAGAAGCTGGAGACCGAAGATCGCGTTGCCTTCCTCGACTACGTAGCTCACTATCTGAGGGAAAATAGCCCCAATGGGGAAGTTACTCTTTTTCTCCTACAGCACTTCGCCAAGGAGTTCCGCGTCAAATCAGATTGTCTCCTGCGCGAAACTCTCAAGCTTAAACATGAGCTCCATCCCCGAGAAGTTCACACTTTGCTACGCATCATTGCCAGCGCCAGTGGCTCTGAGAAGTATGCCAATGTCTACTACGCGGATCAATCGCTGTTCATCAACGTTAGCAGCCTGCTTAGATGCCTGGTTTCTGCCGGCAAGGAACCGGATGGAGGAGGACTGGATAAGCCCATGACGAAGCTGGAGGAGGTGGCTCTATCTTCGGGCATTGATGCGGGTTACGAAAAGAAGGTCTCCTACGAACTAAAGACGCTACTCGTGCGCTGCTCGGCCAATCTTCTGTGCGACAACAAGGCCAACAAGGGCTACTGCCTGGACACACAACTATTGCCCACTCTGCTCGAGTGCACCACGATGGATGCTCGTAATCCTTGTAAGAGAACATAGCTTACATGCTACAATATTATTTAATCAATATGTATCCCTCAGTAATGCGGGAGTGGAGCATTCTTGCCATCCGAAACGCTTGCATCAACTGCCCGGAGGCACAGCAGGTGATCGCTGGCCTCACCAATCAGGGCTCGGCGCCTAACGACATCCTCACCGAACTCAACCTGGACATGGGAGCTCTGCGCATCTCGGACAGGCAGCAATAACTCATCTAACCAATGTATAGCACACACACATCTACCCAAACGGACTTGGCAAACTAGGCACGACCACTGGCTGGCCAACAAGTGGTTAGATGTTGTTCGCACCACGTCATCCTCCGCCGCCCAGTCGTTGCCCCCTTTACGATGCGCTAATGGTATGCCAACAGATAGCCAACGGCATTCATAAACGCGATGTCAACGTTTAATGGCATAGAGGGGCGAATGTGTGGCGGACGGCTAGCGTGGCTAGCAAAGATATAAAAATAGCTGCCCATGTACCATGCTCTGTGTACCATTAAAAAAGAGATGCCTAAATTCATCTAAAATCTAAATTTGTGCGCACACTGCCGAAGCAGCAGCGGCAGCAGCATCGGAATCATCGGCAGAGTAGAGTTCATGTTTATGGCGCAATTAAGCAACGATGACGTCTGCCCGAGTAATTCCTTGGGCGGCTTGCTGCAGGTGGCAGCTCCTCCCATACCATCCCATCCCGCTCCCAGCGGCGTATGTAGAACGATTTTATGTTTATGCTGGCTAACAATGGCTGCCTTTGTTGTAGCTCGCCGCGCTCCCCAAAAAGAAAAGCGAAGGAAAAGGCAGGCGAGCGACAACCACTGGTGGCTAGTAGTCAGTCAGTCTGTGCTCTGCCCTGGCCAGCGGCAGACGGAACCGTGCCGCCGCGATCTGATCCCATACGTTTCGATCAAAAGAACCCATAAACCCGAACATCGCGCTCTTTTATTTCAAATTTTTGTTCGCTTCACGGGCAGTTTTGCCATTAATTTCGACTGTTATCGCTGGTAGAGTAACGAAATTTTATTTTAGACGAGCCGGGCAGCTCGTAAAACTCAACACACATCATTCATAAGCATTCAGCTTGCGGCCAGGCCAGAGATCTCCGTTGCATTGCTGCAGCTTTAATGGTAAACACCGAGTGGATCGCTCTTATATAACGATAAATCAGGATACCTGACAAGATGTTAACACTGTCTGACAGTTTATGAGGTGTATAAGGTGGGCACCGCGACGTGGAGGAGGAGGCTGATCCAAATCCGCTGGCATTGGCATTATTTATGCGGGGCATTAATTAAATACACATTTCTCAAAATTCGCTTCTTTTACGCCGGGGCGGAATTCGTCGGTGTTGCGACGTCTGAATAATACGGCACATACCAAAAATACAATGGCCGACAGCAAGTAAAACAAAGGCTGAGATACAAAACAAATAAATAAATAGGCAGAGGCGAACGTTTCGCGATTTATTTTGCTGTGCGTTTTTTTTGAAAGAAATATAAAATTTCTGCCTGTCAAAAGTGTCAATATATTCGCGCCCAAAATGAGACAATGAGTTGTGAATTAATGATGCTGTTTCGCATCCAACCATTTTGTCAGTCAGAGCAAAATGCCAGCACACGTTTGAAAATCTTAAAATTATCTAAAAATAAGGCAAACTGTTTGCTGTAAATTGTGCGTGGCTAAAAAATAGACTAAAAAACTAAAAGAAAAATTCGAAAAAAAAAACGTTTTCAAAGGAAAGTGGCACATAGGATAGATAGAACTTGTTCTTCCCGCTTAATGACGCACTTCATGACGCAAGTGCTGCAACTCCCCCAACTCCCGATGATGCAAATGCAGCTGCAACTTAAAGATCTATTCCCGGAATAGATCGCGGAAGTGGAGAGCAGAAGAATCTGGCGCCGTATGGGAATAGCATGGGGTATTTCTCCTTGTTTTCTTTTTGGGTTTTCCCCAAAATAAAAGAAATATGTACATATATAAGTTGACATTTTTGGTAGCCCAATTATTGTCGGGCAACAAAGAGAGGGAAAAACGAATATTTGAACGGCATCCACATGGCAGGCAGTACTAACTATGTATATGGCACTTGTGCACGCACCCCCTGCTCCCACCCAATCCTCACCAGCCACTCCACCCACCCAACTATCCCAACGGCGGGGGCGCACCTAATTCTCGCAAATATTCCGCAAAGAGCCGAAATAATTTCAAAAAGGAATTCGCATTTTTGTCATCTATTTTTCTCGCCTGAATGTGTCCACTAATTTGCTTAATTTCTGTCAGAGACCAAAGAAGAAAAACCGTTTTCGAATGGGGATTTCTGGTCGTCGTGGCAATATGTAGGTAAATACATAAATAAAATAAAGCGGATTCTCCAAAACAACATAATTAATGGGCACGTTCTTGCGGATTTGCGTGTGGCAAGCAAACAGTTTGGGGCAAGAAAATAGTCTGGGTTTTAAAAACAAATTTTGCTTAGCAATTTCGTAAAATCAACATATTTAATATACAATATATAAAAAGGTTTACTACTATTTTCTTTTCGCATTTTTCCTTGTTGTTGTATATTAAATCCCCAAATGTTATAATATTTAAAATTCATATAAGAACAATAAAAGGATACAATAAAAATTTTGAATAACATAAAAGCAAATAAATATTTGAGTCCACATTTCCTTAGCACCATAATAAAGTACTTAGCAATTTTGGATCCCGAACAATAGCGATAATAAATCTATTTTAAAAACGTTTCATTTAATTACTTGTTGCTTCCTGAAATATCCCCTGTACTTTCAGTTTTTGTTTGTGTTTCTTTTCCCTTAAAATATCTTTTATCGCCAGTTTTTGAAACCCCAACGCTGTTGGTCTGTCTGCCACTGTTTGCCTAGTATAAAAATAAAATATTGTTTAAACTAGGGAGCTCTGGGATCGTTTGGGATGGGATGGGGGGCTTAGGCCCAGCGAAACACCTGCCGAATGAGGAAAACGGCGCCCGACAATGTCCCACATGTGTGCGAAATGTTCGCATGACTTCATTGTCTGGGGAGAGATTATAAATGGGTTAACTTCCTCGTAACCTCCCTCTCCCCCAGGAACGTGCGTTGTTCCATGTGCGTGTGGATTGCCCCTTGCCAACGTCCAGAGAGCCCTAGGAGGGGAGCGTGATCCGGAACCGGAACCTGCGCAAGAATGAAGCGCGACGTGTCCACGTCGACCATCGGTCGGGATGAGGCTCGCCGTCCCCTGATGGAGGCCTACATGTTTCAGCGGCGGGTGCTGCTCGGCTGCAGCCTGCTCATGGTGGTGTCCCTGCTGATCTGGATAGTGGCCATCTCGACCGATCACTGGATCATCATATCCGGCGGAAAGGGTAAGAAATATGCAAAAGTCTTCCATTCGAACGCAGTTTCCTCCGAAGATTTAAGTCGAAACATTATTTACCATCCAAATATGAATAAAGAAAAATAATCACTCTGTTTATGAGATAATGAATACAAATAGGTACTTAAAATTGTTACTAACAAATTATAATACAAACAAAATTTGGCACGAGCCCAAAACAAAGCTTTTTAAATTATTAAATGCAGAGCAGAAGAATCCGTACACTTAATTTCAGTTAAATTGTATAGTTTCAGACCTTTTAATAATAATATTTTTGTTTTAAGATCTAGCAATTTTTTGAAAGTGAAGAAATATATGGATACTTTTATTTTTTGTACTATAATTTGTACAGTCAACATTTCCGTAACCATGGAATAGTTGGTTCTAAAGATGAAAACATTATTTTATTTTCAGATTTAGCTTTTTAGAAAGAGTGTCGAAGTTTCCTTATAAACTACTCACACGACCGTAGCCAGTTAATATTTTGTAGAACAATTTCTAACCTTGTGAACCTAATATTTTCCATTGAATAAGAGTACAAGGCAACTAATTAAATAAGGTTTTTATCAATGGCAACAGTACGTATGAGTGATAAGCTTTGAAGCCAATACGTAGATCCTAAAACGAATGTTTTCCTAACATAATATTTTTTATACCACAAAAGCTGTTGATAGTATAACCTTAAAAATACATTTCCTTAGTTTAAAATCTTTTATAAGCTTTATGATATTATATTATACAAACTAAATCGAAACCTATAGTTTAATTCTTACTTGTCTTCCTTCTTCAAAGGCATTTTCATCCCGGAGTCGCGGCGCTTCTTCATGTCCTCGCACTCGGGATTGTGGCGCCACTGCCGCAACACCATAGTACCGAATGCCATTGGCAATGCCCCGGTGGTGCGTAACTTCAGCTCCATGTCGTACACCTCGCAGACGAATATCAACGAGGCGAAGCGGAATCTCTCGCACATGGACTTCATCAAGCAGTTCGCCCAGGAGAAGTTGGAGCCGGCGGACAACTTCACGGAATCGGCGCGTCGCCACATGTTTGCCCACTGGGTGCGAGGGGAGGACGAAGAGTTCCAGACGCTGCGCAATGCCTTCCGCGCCCTGGTGATGAACACCGAGGAGAACCAGCGGCAGTTCAATGCCACAGCGATAAAGCCAATACCCATCAATCCTCTGGATGTCCAAGGGATTATAGAGAGGAAAACATTTGGATCGGCACTGCAGCGGGTTAAGTACAACAACACCTGGTCGTACTATGTGATCCCCGAGGTGGCCCAACTGGCCATTTTCAGCAACTGGACGGATTTCCCACTGGTGGTCCGACTGTTGGGCACCTACATTCGGGATATCAACATCCCTGCCTATGTTCTGAACGACGAGCGGGTGATCCTCATCCTTGTGCCTCCATTGCCGCCCAAAAGGGGCCAGCCCGCCTACTACACCTATATACCGAATCGTGAGTGGGTGGTCCAGGAAAGATCCTTTGATTTCACAACTAATCCTTTCCAGAGCGCTGCAAGTACATCGACATGTTCCCCAACTCCAATGCCCTGCGCACTGAGCCCGGCTTCGATGACGAACTATTGGGTAGGTAGCACCTGAAGAGCTTTGGAGGCGACGGCTCCTAATTGGCAGTCGCTTGGTATTCCCTTTCAGACTACATCCGGACGCAGGCGTCCTTTGCCTGCATAACTCTGTTCGTGATGAGCCTGGGCGCCGTCTTCTCGTTCTACACGTTCATGAATCCCCGCTACATGTTCAAGCGCCTGGCAGGTGGCATCCACCTGGTGGCAGCCTCCACGGCTCTTGTGGTGCTCCAGGTACTCTTCTCCTCGATTGACTACACTAAGGAGCATCTCTTCTACGCCTATCCTGACGGAGCGGAGCTAACGTGAGTTAAGAACAGGAAGATAATGGCTTTACTATGGATACTTTCCTCCCTTCAGCTATGGCTACGGCGTCTACTTGGCCTGGTTCACCTTCGTGGACAACATTCTTTGCGGTGTTATGTTCCTCTGGTACTCGGGCAAGAAGAAGGGCGCCAAGGCGCCCAACGACGAGGTGGCCATGGCCGATGAGCCCACCATCATGGGCAGGTAACTGAAGCTGCCACGATGACCGGGTATATTTTCTGGGGGATTCCTAATCCCTCCTGCGACCAAAGACCAAAGCAACCGGCAAACTCGCCGCCGTTGCTTTTCATTTCACTTTTGTTAATTGTTGTTTTCTAATGGCTGTACTTAAAATGTTCGCTTTATAACTACATTTAAGAATCTCAAGGCAATAAACGAATTTTTTTCAGTCACTAATGACCGTTTTATTTATTTTAAATTTGATAACAGCAAACTCGGTTGTGTTATCGATTGTGGCTATCGAAAATGGGCTAAAATAAATTAAAAAATATGAGATAAAGAACTTCTAAAAAAGGGTCAACAAATTTTAGAACTTTTAAATAATTACATTCAAAAAAGATAAGGAGATTTGCCGGCCTCTTTCACGTGTTACAAAAATTAAAAGGAGACCCCTTTAAAAAAGTATTTGCCTATGGCAATGGTTGCTAGTATGACCGTACTGCACATACAACTATTTAGCTGAAATCCTATTGAAAGCTAAAACATTTCAAATAAAAATAAGACATTTCTTTCGTAAAACCCACTTTAATACAATTGTATTTAAATAATATCCATTACTCAGAGGAAGACGCATTTATTTGGCTGACACTTGTTCTTTCAAAAATCCGAGATATCTCAAAAACGCGTGGGAGAATCAACCCATAACAATCCAATACCACATTGGGATAAACAAACATGGTAATTTTAAAAACTTAAATTAAAAATAAATATTAAAAACTATTAACAATACATATTTTTTAGGAACCGTTAGAACCAGATGTTATAACCACCCAAACCAAGGAGCTCACAGAAGCGGAGAAACAAAAGTTGGAGGATCAAAACAAACGTGGTTTTGTGCCCGAATTCAAGGCCAACAAACTGGAAATAGATGCCCAGAGGAACTGGGATATCTTCTACAAGAGAAATGAGACTCGCTTCTTCAAGGATCGCCACTGGACGACGCGGGAGTTCCAGGAGCTGCTGGACCAGGAAGAGTCGGGCGACAAACGCACTCTCTTTGAAGTGGGATGCGGAGTGGGCAACCTGGTGTTTCCGCTCCTAGAGGAACAATCCAGCGAGGAGGGATGTTTTACCAATGGTAGATTTTACTTCTACGCCTGCGATTTCTCACCCCGAGCCGTGGACTTTGTGCGCTCTAATCCTCTGTACGATCCCAGCCAGATAACCGCCTTTCAGTGCGATATCACGACGCAACAGGTGCATGAGCATATCCCAGTCAGCAGCCTGGATGTCTGCACCCTCATCTTTGTTCTCTCAGCCATACATCCACAAAAGTTCAAGGAGGTTGTGCAGAACCTGTGGAAGTTACTCAAGCCAGGAGGACTGGTGCTGTTCAGGGATTACGGCCTGTACGACATGGCACAGTTGCGCTTCAAGCCGGGCAACAAGATTGCCGAGAACCTCTATGTGCGTCAGGATGGCACCCGCAGCTACTTCTTCTCAGAGGAAGAGGTGTCCCAACTCTTCCAGGAGAACGGCTTCGAGGTGATCAGCAATGCCTATGTCCACCGACGAACCCTCAATCTCAAGGAGGGCGTGGATGTGCCGCGCATCTTCCTGCAGGGAAAGTTCAGAAAGAAGAACCTGTGACCACCACGAACTAAGGACCATTGTTACGTATTTAGTTGTTGTATTTATTTTAAATCAATAACATGGTTCAAGTCAACGTTCAATAAATATTTGTATGTATATATTAGTTTACACATGTATATATGCTAATAAGTGACAGAACTAAAAGGTTTCCTGTAGAGTTCAATTGAAATTGCCTGGACCCAACTCTGGCTGAATGTCGAGTAGATATCGAATGTGTGAGCGTCATGCTGCTTACCTAAAACGAGTGAAATGCACCGGGATGTGTACGTTCTGTTCCCCGAAAATGGAACATAATCTCCCTCTGGCTGAAGCTTTAGCAAACGATCTCTACCGGGGGCTCCGTGTGTATACATTTTGTATATAATTCTTGTGACGTCCTAGCAACACTTAATCTAACCAACAATTGGATTTGGAATACGATAATACATACGAACAACTAAGAAAACCCATCAAATTCAACAAACTCAAACGATCCTTAATCCATAAATTCAAATCTCTCGCGCCACGGTTTTGTTCGGCTAATACACAGCGGTAGGTGGCGAATATATATAGTTGGGTAAGTGGATTTTGGGTCATGAAGATATTTTCGTGCAGTCAGGTAATCTTTGGATAATTCCGAGTATTTACGATATAAGGTCCGACCAAAATGCAAGGGATATAATTGCATCTAACCAGAAACATTGTTTAATATTTAGGAAATTGGAAATATTAATAAAATTAATTGGTATACACGGTTATTACTCTATCAAGACTGTAAAAGAATTGTTTTAGAAATATCCTTGGATTATTTGACTGCCCTTACAATCTCTTATTCATTTTTGTTCATACGAAACCCACTCACCCCAGTTATGGTTGTAAATATATATACTTGATACTTGGATTTGGCTAATCGCCTTTGGAACGAGACGATCGATTGCACTATTCCGCCAAGCTGTGCTCGGCCAGCTTGCCGCCGTTGCTGCTGCTGTGTCCCAGCGGCGCCAGTTCGATGCTGGAGTCGAAGCTCTTGGTGAGCAGGTCGCTGCTGGTCACCGAGTTGGTGGTGCTGCTCAGCGGAGGCAGGGATGTGTTAGCGTTCGCGTTGGAGCCCAGCACGCCGTCGTTGAGGTCGCTGTCCACGCTGAAGCTGTTGCTCCCATTCTCGTTGATCAGCGAGAGCGTCTGCAGCGGCAGCACTTCGCCGGTGGGTGGCTGTTCCGCACTGGGATTCGAGTTTGGTTCCGCCTGCAGCTGGAGCAGCGAGTTGCGCTGCGTGTGCTTGTCGAACTTGCGCTGCGGTGGCTTCGGCGGCTCCTTGTCCTTCTCTTTCTCCTTGTCCTTCGACTTCTTGAAGCCCGCGATGAGCGCCTTGTGTGCCTGCGCCTTGATGCCCTCCATGCTCGGTCGCATGATGGAGGTGCGCGTGCCGGAACTCTCCTTGGTGGAGGGCGATTCCTTGGAGCCCGGCTCCGTCTCCTCAGTAACGCTGGCCAGCTGCTGCGGCGCCTGCGGCATGGTGAGGTCCTGCACCTGGATGGGTATGTCGTCGGGCAGTTTTTTCGTACGGAAGGAGGCGTTCGTGATCATAGACTTGGACACCGAAGTGGTCACCGTGGTGGTGGATGGCGTCAAGGCCACACTAAGGCCCATGGGTCCGTCGTTGGGCTGACCGGAAGGATTGGCGTGCAGCGAATTGCGCACCGCACTGGTCACCAGGATCAGTTCCGAGTACATTTCGTAGGTGGCCCGGTTGTGTATGTCGTCCAGGGTTTGGATAGCTATCGTGCCATAGCCATTGAACATGGCGAAGTAGATGGCGTGCACCAGTTCGATCAGGAAGGCGGCGGACAGTGGAATGCGTGGTGAGGAGGGCTTTGGAAAAGTGGCTCCGGTTGCAGGATCAGATCTGGAAGGGAATTGTATTAGATATAGAAACAGCAATTATCTAATCCCACTTTACCCATAACTCATCCGATGACCGTGCCCCGACTTCGTGGTGAATCCCTGATTCACCAGCTGCGACGTGACCCGGCACAAGTGGAGCAGCGACGACTTTTGCGTCTGGCTGACCTGCTGGTTGTAGCAAAATAGCAGTGCCGTCAGGATGCGCATACGGTTCTGGGCGTGGATCGACTCAATACGCTGATGCGGTCCCCACTTGACCTCCCGGTTGCAGTTCTCCTCCCAGCGGCGCAGATCGGTCATGGGCAGGTTCTTCACCTCGTGGTAGACGGACGTCTGGGCCAGGATGGGCATGCGGAAGGCCACCACGCGCTGGCCGCCGTCATCGGTGGACACCTCGCCATTGTAAATGCAGATGAGCAGCGTCTCCACGCCGCGAGCGGCCTTCTTATCGCCGCCGGCCACCGAATGCAGGTATGTGTACACCAGCACCGGGATGAACTGCAGAGGGAACTTGTGGAGCGTCAGCTCCGGCGAGCGGTAAAAAGCCAGTAGCTGCTGGCAGATGTCGTGGACCAGCGCCTCGTTGCGCTGCCGCTCGTTAAAGATGGTGAAGATGGCCTCAGCAATCTCGGGATCCGTTTCGTGCTCCACAACGAACGCTTCCGCCTCGGCAGGCTGACCCTTTGTCCGCTGGTAGTCCGCCAGCCAGTCCCTCACCAGTTCCGCCATCGATGTTGTCCTGAGGTTGTGACCGAATCTATAATATGGAATTGGAATGCCAAATCCGCAGTCAATGTCAGACTTTCAATGGGTCCTCTTTCGTCGACGCTCACCTTGACCTAGGTGGCAACTGGGATGCTAGCGATGGTGGTGGGTGTGCTGTGGAGCTGGGTTCAGGTTTCCGCACCCTGGGTTATGTGGTAGCAGTGGCTAATTAATTTATCGCCCGTCTCCGCTGCTGCTCCCTCTTAATTTTTTTTCCCAAATAAGCCAGGGCTGCATCGCAGTATGACCTTAAGAGGACCGTATATTTCTAGCAGTTTTGGTATTAAATTTATTACAGTATATTCTTACAAAGCTCATTGGTATATTTAACGAATGTTTTGAAGGAAAGATTTTAAAAATTCGTAATTCCCTAGGTTTAAATGACTTTTCCTTATTATTTTTACATAAATTAAATATGCTTGTCTAGCTTTTAGTTTAAGTTGTCAATAAATCTATTCAGACATTGATTATTTATTTTATTGATTTCTACCCATATTTATTCAGGAATAAATAAAGTAAATTTGCTTAATTTTTTCTTAACCTAAGTATGACAATAAAAGCATATATGGAATAGTGTGAATTTTATAAAATCTGGCATGATTAGGTCAGTTCTGGTGAGCATTTTCTTATTTTTTAAAACAATATATGGGATTTTCTTTAAAAAAAATATGTATCACCACTTACATAATTATTAATAATTTAACTACTTTCTCTATTGAGCATATGTATTATCTAATTAAGTCGTACGTAAAATATATATCGTACATTGTCTACGAGAAAAGGTTTGTGACTTTTTTTTCAGATCATTGCAGAATTAAGGGCAATCAGGCAGGGCAGACGGCGAAATCTTGACCACGGCATCTCAAGGACTAGGTTTTCTACATTTTTATCTGAGGTCTGAGTCTGTCGTCTGTAGGAAGTAGTCAGTTTTCACCACGCTATGACTTCTTTATCGTGGCTCTACGTAAGATCACGTGCCTTTGGATTATCGTTAACTATAATAGAAGACAGTGATTCGGACTACGACTATGGACAACAAATTGGTTAGTTGATGGAAGAATGGAATCCGTTTAATCTTTGCTAGCTGGGCGAACGTATTAAGTCCTGGGCCAGCTCGACGCGCCGTCTAGGCCTCCAAAACTCCAGCAGACGCATCATGAAGTGAGCCACTACAAAGAAGACAAGGAACCAGGATCCGTGCTGCCACACGGCGAACACTAGCTCGCTGGTGGTGAAGGAACGCTCCTGCAGAACCCGATCGTACACCTTCACTGTGCGATGGGCCACGTCCTCCCAGTTGTAAAGCGTTTCCACCAGCTCATTGCATTTATAGGGACACATTACTGGCTCCGTATGGCTACTCTGATCCGCAGGGGGAGCGCAGGATGATGGCAGTTGTGGAGGGGAGGAAGATACATCCGCTTTCTTGCGACGTCGCCGCTTTCCTTTTCCATTAGCCTCCGACTGTAAATTACCATTGGCAGCAGGAGGGCTAACCTTGAAGGAACTTTTTTTATGCCGCTCGATGGCTACCAAAATGGCACCATATATGGCATCTATTTCCGGTTCCACCAGCAGTATCAGACTCTTCGGCAGCACTTCTGGGATTCCACCCACACTGGTGGACACCACCTGCAGGCCACAGGAAGCAGCCTCAACAATGGCCATGCAATAGGCCTCAGTCAGTGAGGTATTCACGAAGATGTGGCCACGGACCAGGACATCGCGCACCTTGGCGTGCTCCACGGCTCCCACCATCTCCACCCTGTCCTGCATATTTGTCTTTTCGCGAATCTCTTCCAGCAGATCCCGCTTGGGTCCATCGCCCACAATGATAAAGTTCACATTTGGAGTGTTTTTGAAGCGCGGAATAATTCCCGCCAGCAAATCAATGCCTTTGCGGTAGACAAGACGCGAAGCCACTACAATGTTAACTGGGAGATTGAGATGATTAGAAGATGAAGACTAACAAACGCTCGTAGTCCTTACTTGCATCATTGTTGGGTCGCTGTTGGGGATCAGGGGTGAACAAGGCGGTGTCCACAGCATTCGGGATGACGGAAACTCGATGCTTGGCCACTCGAGCTCGTAAAACAGTGTTCTCCTTGCCTATGTGGGACACACAAATGGCGTGATTAACCATGCCCAAGTTGACCTCTAGAAGGTTGTTGGTGAGAGCGGCCGAGAGGTCAGCGAAGCCAAAAAGGCTGTGATCGGTGAAGACAGTCTGTAGGAGGAGGTAAAGAAGGCTCATTAGCGATTCTTGAGAACTATAGATTAGTACAACCTTCAGTCCCAGCAGGGAGCCCACCATCAGGGCCTCGTGGGCCAGTGCACTGAAGGCGGAGTGACCATGGACCACTTCCACGCGCTCCCGGAGGAGTACCGCTCGCAGCATGGGCACATTGCAGACGGCAGTGGGCAGGATGCACTGGTTGTAGCACACCTTGATGGGCAGATAGTAGACCTTCAGGCCACCGGTTACATAGCGAACGCCACTGCAGTCCCCGTAGGCGTGCGTCAGCACGACGATCTGAATGCGGATGGTAAGCTAGTTTAAATAATCGTTATCTTTATTGGGGCTCCCTCCCAATTGGCAATAGTCACCTTGTGACCCAGACTGAGCAACTTTTGCGAGAGGTTGTAGACGTGCTCCTCCACCCCGCCGATGCTCGGGTAGAAGAAGTCTGACGCCATGCAGATGCGCATCTTTCACTCTGTGACTTCTGGGGCTTCCAGTTAGTTGACATTCCACGTAAAAACAAATAAATGCGAAAACTTAAACAAAATCGGATCGGGAAGCGGTAGTGTGGCACAGTGCCAAGAAGCGGTCGATGGCCTAGTGTTGCAAAACGGCGAAGAAGGGTCTATTTATTAAGCCCTTTTTGCACGACACAAATTTCATTAAAATGTTAAATGATAAATATTTCTTAAATGTGAATATTACCAAAGTGCGCAATGCGTTTCTTAAGAATGTATGAGTCTCTTTAAACGTGTAAATTACATAGAAAATATGTGACAAGATGAACTTGATTTCGACGGTAAATTTACTCGTATCATTTATACGCTCGTATCATACGATATAAGTTATGTACGGAATGTAATTAGCAAGTATACATATTTTTTATCAGTAGAAAAAAGTACCTTTCTGCAAGTTTATGGCATTCCTCGCGCGAGCTGGCCACACCTTCAGGCTGTTGTTTGTTTGCTGGTTTCTGAAATGCAGAATTCCAAGGCCAAAATGGACGAATTCAAGAGCAAATTCTTGGACATATTGCACAAACAGGTAGCAGGTCAGCGTACGATTAAGTAATCCCCAGAACTAACCCTGTTTCCATGCATTCCGCCCACCAAAACCAAACAATAACCACCCACGCACACACAGACGAACCGTCAAATGAAAATTCCTGCCATGGGATTTTCGGATTATTTCATCCAAACGGTGACCACAGATGCTTCGCCCGGCCAGGAAACGGACACCACGGGCGCTGCGGCCACCGCCGCCAGCGAGACGAACGCACAAAAGTCCGACCAGGAGATCCTGGAGGGCATCGAGCAGTGCTACTACAGCCCCGACAGCAATCCGCAGCTGTACGAGCTCAAGGTAAACCAGGTGTAATAACCAGTAACATATTGCTTTAATCACCCCCTTCTCTCACGATCTCCCGTAGAAAGTTCTCAACGATGGCATAGACAACGAGCTCATCGAGGTCACCATTGCACAACTGCGCACTCAGCAGAAGGTTCTCACCAAGCAGGTGCTGCAGAACATCCTGGAGCAGCGGAACGCCTGCAGCAGTGAGTTCGCGGCCATCAATGACACGCAGAAGAAGCTGGAGGAGTCGCTGTGGACCTGCCAGAAGGCGAGATCCTATCTGAACTTTGCCCGCACAAACTTGACAACCACTAGCCTGGAGATCCTAGCCAGCTATCGCAAACGGGAGGTGCTCAAGGAGGTGTTGGACACCCTGGTGGCCATTAAGCGGCTGGTTAGAAAAGAATTGCCCCATTCTATAACGCATTTTATTAACACATAATTTCCCACAGCGCACCACAGACGTAGAGGTGCAGAAGCTTTTGGCGGATCACAACTACAGTGCTGCCATCGCCTTGCTCCTGCAGTGCAAGAGCTCCGCCGAGGCCTATATGCAGTTCAACTGCGTGCAATCGCTCTCTAAAAAGCTGCAGGAGACCATGCTGCTCATGGAGTTTCAACTGGACACAGTGCTCAATGAGATGGTACTCGGTTTCGATGGACGCAAATACGCCAAGCTGCAGGAGGCCTACAAGCTGGCCAACAAGTCGCTGATGGCTATGGACCAGCTGCACATCAACTACATTTCGGCCATTCACTCTTCTGTGAATGCTGTGCTGCGTGGCTACAGCGATCCCGGCCAGGATGATCAGGCCAAGCCGCTCTACGAGCAGCTGTGCGAACAGCTCAGCGTGGAGAAGCTGCTACCCTGTTTGATCAGCTTGTGCAAGACCTTCTGGACCATCCTGGCATCCTACTACCAGGTGGTTATGTGGCACAACAACTACAAGTTGTATGGACAGGAGGAGGAGGATTCTCCAGATGTGTACATCCAGCAGAAACTTAAAAAGGGACAGTCGCGGGTGTGGAACGATATACTGACCAAGGTGTGCCTGTTTCTGCAGGCGGCCAAGTTAACGGCGCTCAAATACGACCAATTCATACAGGTGCTGTCCGTGGTGCAGCGCCTAAAAAAGGTCGGTCTGGAGTTCTGTGGCGAGCAGTCGGAGAAACTAATCGAAACGATGCAGCAGCAGAGCGAGGAGTTCTTCCGACGCTACCACATCTGCTGCGTGGAGGAGATTTGTCTGTTTCTGGACAACGAATCCTGGACGCAGGTTGACTCGTTTGCGCATATCCTACAACTGCCTGTGAGTAGCTGTGTAAAGCGTGAGAAGCCAGCTTAGTTAATCCACCTGTCATTCTTTTTAGGAATTCCGATCTGTTCGGCACACCCTACGACGCCACAAATCCCCAACAGCAGCTTTGCTGGCCTCATCCAACAACTCCCCAATCAGCAATAATAACTGCGATGAGCTGGTTTCCGTCCACTCCCAGGATGGCGGCAGCTCCATTTACGGTTCCTACGGATACTTTCTTAGATTTTCCGAAAAGAGTTCGCCTTTTGATGGTGGCTTAGATGCGGCCATGTTAGAGGAGGACATTCTATCCGGCATCGTGGACGAAGCCTCCTGTTAC